TTTTTTTTTTTCACTGTTCCTCACTAACTCGCCATCTCCAAGACCTGCCCCGCCAGCCTGGACCCCTTCCCCCTCCCCCTGTCCTGTTCCTACCCCTCAGCCCACCCCAGGGCTGTGGAAGTTACTCCAGGCTCGCCCGCCATCTCTCCCACCGCACCGAGGAGGGAGCGGTCAGGGACGCGGGCGCAGCGGCTCACGGGCGCAGCGGCTCACGCCTGTATTCCCTGAGACTCAGGGAATAAGAGATGGTGGCGAGGTTTGAGGCAGCCTGGGCGAAAAGCGCGTGGCCCTTTACCTCAACCAACAAGCGAGGTTGGGGAGAGAAGCCGGGGAAGGTAAAAATAGCTAAGGAGGAAGACAGGGCCCAGGCTGGACAGACGGACAACACAGACAAACCCCGAGACCCCACCGAACAAGTAATGAAAACCCCGAAGGGGCTGGGGGCCTGGCTCAGCGGTGCAGCACCTGCAGCCCTGCAGCGGGGGGAGGTTCTGAGTTTGGGGTTTGGCGTGTGTGTGTGCTTGTGTGTGTGTGCGTGTGTGCGTGCGTGTGTGTGTGTTGCCGGAAAGCAAGCAAGCACCTGTTAGGTGGTGACTGAGCCACCCAGGGACCTTGCTGGGGACAAAGGGTGTGGCCAGCAGTCACCGTGGTGACGCCCTTGTCCCGAGCTGGGACCAAATTTGGGCTCCACGCCACAGACAGGAAAGAACACTTTGTACAGAGCTGTCTGCCTGCCGGCCTTCCATCCTATTGTGGCCTGAGGTCATGTGTTTGTTTGAGCAGGGGGGGGGGGTGTTCCCGATGCATGTGGACACCGTGTGGACGAGGAGGATGGTGGCTCCCTCGCCAGTGGAGGGCCCAGCACTTGGGGGGAGGGGGTTCTCACTTATACTAGCGTGTCTGTGGTTATCTGTGCTTCAAGGTGCTTATAAGCTCCTGGGAGTCTCTCTCTCTCTCTCTCAGGGCATGAAGTGAGAGAGTTCCAGGCAGAGGCAAAGGTCCTGGGGCAGGATGGAGCCTGGTGGGTTGGAGGAACAGCAAAAAGGCCGGAGTAGAAGGAATGCAGTAGAAGGAATGAGGGGCAGAGAGGGGGAGGGTAGAGGCAAGGGAGGGGAGGGGGGAGGGCAGGTCCTACAGGGTCCTGTGAGCTGTAGGGAGGACTTGGGCTTTGACCCTGAGGGAGGGCGGGAGGGGGTGTAGGCAGGAGGGGATGGTGTTTATTTAACGCCCCCCCACACACCCCAGTGTGGCAGAATGTCCCCCATCAGATAGTATTTGGAGAAAAGCATGGTGGCTCCTGCCTTTGGGAGGCCGAGGCAGGCGCGTGGAAAGTCTCAGGCTAACTCCAGCTATAGAATCGCAAACGCATACATAAATGAAACAAAGAGGACATTTTGAGCTGTACAAGTTGAACGCAGAAACAGTGTGTTTGAGGCTCGCAGCCTGTGCTTATGATTGACAGGGTATAAAGCTCTTTTTTCTTTTTCTGTGCCGGTCCTGGGCTTGAACTCAGGGCCTGGCTGTCCTGAGCTGCTTCTGCTCCAGGCTCGCAGTCACGGCCAGCTTCTTGGGTGGTTATTGAAGATAAGCACGGGATGGATGTTATTTTTCCTGCCGGGGCTGGCTTTGAACGCCACATTCAGATGCAGCCTCCCGAGCAGCCAGGATCACAGGCGTGAGCCCCCCGCCCCAGCCCGGGGAAGCCTGGGATTTGAACTCAGGGACCTCGCAGTTTACTAGCCCGGGCCCTCCAGGCTGGGGCCACGCCCCCTTCTCAGGGACAGCACCCAGGCCTGGACTCCAGACCCCAGAAACAACAAAAAAAAGTTTAAAATGTAATAATGATAAAAAGACAAGGTTAGAAAGTAACAGCGGAGGAGCCGGAGGGCCTCGGTGAGGGCTACAGAGTCACCGCGGTGGGCGTGGCTTTGTGCGTCGCGGGCGTGGCTTGATCAGAGGGGTGTGGCGGTATTAAGGCTGTGGGCGTGGCTTGCGCAGAGGGGTGTGGCTTTATGTGTCATGGGCGTGGCTTTGGGGCGTTGTGGGCGTGGCTCCGCGGTTGGGTGCCCTGAGTTCAAATCCCACTACTGCAAAAAACAGAAAAAAAAATAAAACAGACACGCGAGGAGCCGGGCTCCCCCGCGTCCCGGGGGCTGGACGAGCCGGTGCCAGCTGGGCTCTGTGCCCGCCGGGTGTGGACGCCGCTGGGTCAGAGGGGCCCGCTGCTCGGGGCTGGGCCCTTCCCAAGCCAGCCACCCGTGCCCAGCCGAGGCCGAGCCCGCAGGGCCCTCCCGCCACCCCTGCCCAGCCAGCCGGGGAAGCCGCGCCACTGAATCACAGGGAACCCAAACAAGTGACAGGCCGGGCACCGGGGCTCACGCCCGTCATCCCAGCCACTCCGGAGGCTGGGAACTGAGGACCGCGGGTTCGAAGCCAGCCCGGGCAGGAAGGTCCCGTGACACTCATCACTAGGAAACCGGAAGTGGCGCCGTGGCTCAAGGGGTAGTGGAGCGCTGAGGAGGGTCACCCCCTCTATTCCCCCGTCCCCCCCCCCACACCTCGGCCTTTGGCCCCCGAAGCATTGTCTGTGCCGGCCCCGCCCCCGC